CCCTCCCCCAAGAATTTCTAGCTACACCACTGCAACTTGCATTAAAAATTCTCTGTCCTGTCAGTCATTTACAACATCATGCACTTTTCTCTTACTGTGAGGAATGGTTCCTTGTATTTTTCATCTGCAGCAAACTAAAAACAAAGATTTGTCGTAATCCTCATCTAATAGATAGGTTCTCATTAGAAAATTAATCAATGTGCTATGAATGCTGCGCCAGGCCCTTTCCGCCAATGAATAGTATTGTAGTTGGTGTAGATCCTATAACTAAATCTTTGTACCTGTAATTGTTATCAACGAAAAAACTAAAGGGAATAGTTTTTTACCTGAATTATTGTGACATTTATGTCAAGTTCCTTCCAACCAAAATTGGCTAATTTTTCATACTCTCTGAATGCTGTTGATTTTAATCGTGTTATTTACTCTGGTTTGTTTGCAGTTCCGCTTCCTTTTAAAATTACTTTTTGTCCATGGCGCCTGGAATTACAGCCGGGTCTGCAAATTAATTTTGTATAGTTTTTACAAGAATATTTGTTTATATGTAATCGAGCTATGGTTCGCAATCTACTCTGGTTGGTCGGGCCAGATTCTCTTTGAAAGATGGACGATAGGTCTTTATAATGTGGTAAGTGTGCCAAGTCTCATCAGCAGCTGTATAAAATTTTGATTGAAACACTGTGAAATTAATAAAATCCTCAAGGAAATTTATCCTTTAGATGCAAAATTTGTTTCACTTGAAAACATTAATATAAGGAAGAAGATTCTGGTTTTTTGGAATCATGAAATCATTAAATGTGCATGCAGTGCTTCAACTAAACCAATATTTTTCTTAAGGGCCAAAGAGCCATAATCCAATTCTCAAGAAAAAGGGGGAAAAGTGTGCCATTTTGCATGAATTTCATCTCTTAAGTCCAATCTTAATACATATTTTTCAGACAATTACATGTTTTGGGCTCAAAAGGTGAGCACACACGAAATTGCATAGTTTTCCCTATTTTTCTCGAGACTTTCATTTTGGTGCTTAGTGCCCTTAAGAACAATATCAGTTCAATTGTCATGTTAGATAGTAAATCTGTGTCAATTTCAGCAACTATCAGGTAGTTTGTTGTATGTGAAAACTGGTGACATTTCTATGACATCACCTTCTCTGTTACCATAATATTTTGTAGGAATTTCAAGCTATAAAGTTGGCTTGTTTCCCTTCAAAAAAATTAAATAGGAGAGGAAATTTTGAAGCACCGCAATGGAGGCACATCGTCTCAAATTTTGGCTCTTAAAATATGATTTAAGTCACTCACCATCTGTTTGCAATCATCAATGATCTGCTCTGGACTTCCACAAGTGATTCTTTTAAGTAGATGGCAGCAGCCAGATTTTATACCGTCTCATTTAATCATAAAAATCGCTTTTTTGCCAGGTGTACTACTTGCTCTTTTTACTATGTTTTTAATGTCTGGTTCTTTCTATTTTCTTTTCTCAGTTATTTACTGCAGCCCCTCCCTTGGCGATAGGTCTTTTTGATAAAATATGCTCGTCAGAGACAATGCTAATGCATCCAAAATTATACTCTCAAACAAGCCAACTTTTCAACATGAAGATATTTTGGGTATGGATTGCAAATGCCTTGTACCATTCAATTCTACTCTTCTGGTTACCGAAGATAGCCTGCGAACAGGATAGTGTCTGGTCGAATGGTAAAGATGGAGGGTATCTCCTTCTTGGCAACTTTGTTTACACCGTAAGTTTTAACTCTGTCTCTTAATTTCAATTATTTGTGCCTGTCCATAAGAAAGGGGACCTGAATGCATGCAGATGCATTAGAAATCAATTTTTGTCTAAAGGGGTCAACAAATTTAAATTTTATAGGTTCTCATAGGAAAACTCTCAGATTCATCCTGTAGAGTGAGTTATGAGCAATTCATTGCATTTTTGTGCTAATGGTTACCTCAAAGTTGCATTTGAATCTGATGATTTTGGTCTTTTATCGTAGCAAATTGAAACTTCAAATCATTCCTCTCTAAACCACGCTTTTTTTAACCTCAGAGTATCATAATTTTGGTTTGATATCACATTTTTAGGCATTTCTTGTACTGAATGCTCATAAAATATTTGTCTAAGTATCTTCCTCTTTTTTTTTATAGCACTAAGATGCCTTACTTCTTAGACGCTCTCATTTCAAAAGTAGATTGTTTGAACTAACTCGCAGGGTGCATTTCTGCGTCTCTTTTTTGGCCTCTGGTTTGTTCCTAATTTTTTAATAAATTATTTTATTTTTCAGTTCACAGTTGTTACTGTCTGCCTAAAAGCAGGATTACATATGAACTCATGGAACATTTTTAGTCATATTTGTATCTGGGGGTCCATTCTACTGTGGTTCGTCGTTCTAGTAGGTTACAGGTTAGTTTCTAATTTTCAGTCAATACAAATCTTGATCAGATTTTCTCATCCTTATTCTATATATAATATGAAAATTATGAGATTCAACAAATAGTATTTGAATATATTTGAATCGAAGCAACAGTGTTTGGGTATCGCAAAGAGCAAAGCCACACTGGAAAATCTGTAGCTGTTTTATATTTATAATTGAATCGTTGTTTTTTATTCTGAATACAGACATTTTAGGAATGTCGGGTGCAAAAAATTCTCTGATCTTCTCCCTGCCAGAAACATCATAGTCTCCTAGATTATTTCTCCTTGAAAAATTAAATATTTTATCAAATCGATCATCCTCTAAATTATGTTGCCAAAAAGTTTATCTCTTCAAAATTGAGAAATTTATTCATCCAGAAGTTCAGTGTGGACTGGGCTGCAAATCAGTTTATTATTCTTAACATGTTTCGTGCTTATAAAAAATATTAAAAAATTTGATCCAATTCTGTCAGGTCATAATTGGATCGCGTTAAACAGAAAGGAACCAAGCCACATCAGCTGTTGCCAAATTTAACTGAGCAATTTAATTTTGTACATGAAAGCGGTTGTGTGGATTTTTGTGTGAATTTCAGTGAATTATCTAGATAGTGAGAAGCAAATTCTTCAACATTTTCAAAGGAATCCGCACAAACGTTCTCTCGTAAAAAATTAAATTGCCTACTTAAATTTGGCAATAGCTGATGTGGCTTGGTTCCTTTCTGTTAAATGCGGTCCAATTATGTGTCTTCAATTGTAAAATTTGACGAATTCTGCACCCTTTACGCTATGTTGAACCTTTACTGATGGAATATTTTATTTGCCTCTTTTTTAGTCATTTCTGGCCCACTCTTCCGCTAGGAGTTGTCATGACAGGCATGGATACCATGGTTTTTTCCTCTCCTGTATTTTGGGTTGGACTTATTCTAGTGCCTGTTTCTGCTTTAATTTTAGATGTCATATTCTTAGTGTAAGTATCTCATAACAGGTTGTCTCCATTTTTTTCTTTTTCTTTTTTTTTTAGTTAATTTTGATATTTTAAATTATAGTCCAATTTAAAAGCTCTTTCAATGAATTGAAATCATGAAAAATTTGTTTGCAAAACTCATCATTAATCTTGGAGCCTGTTCCCCAATTTTAGGTTTTTTTTTCTCATTAGATTTGTAATTTAAAACACAGTTAAACCAATTTTTTTTTTTTTTCTTTTTTTTTTTTTGGCGTACGGACGTTAGTCCATTGCCTTGGCTTTTTTTTGCAATATTTTATCATATGACCAGTGAATTTGGGGGTGATTACGTCTGAAACTTCTTTTTAACCTTAACAGCCGCATTCTTAAAAATCTGAAATTTTTGGGTATATTCATCACCCGATTTCAAATGATTGAATGTAATATGACGAGCCTTTTTGAAACTAAGCTTTTCACATACTCTCCATCCTCTCATCCTCTTTTTCTAGTACAATTGGACGTATTTATGCTAAAAGGAACTATGTTACATGCAAACCTTATGCGTATTGTTCCTTTTAGCATAAATACGTCCAATTAAATGACCCATTAGAGCTGAAGAAATTCGAAGCCTATATGGTCAGGAGTTTGTTAAAATTATGTTGGATTCATTAGTTTTAGAACGTTCATTAGAAGGACAACCCCTGTGCATGAGCCAAAGGAAGCATTTTAAACCAAAAACTTGGCTAAATTCAGAGAAATGAAAGCAAGATTGTATTTAGGAAAAACCTCACATCCGGTACAGATATCAATGTCTGTATCGAACACAAGGTTTTTTCCCCCAAAATGATCCTTCTTTCATTGCCAATTTTTTGGTTTAGAATGCCTGCAGGCACAGGGGCTATTGCTCTTTTTTGTCAAAAAATTCAAAATCTGCCGTGATATTTGTCTTAATTGATGCGATATATCGCATGCAAGTTCGACCATGCGAGAAACGGTGACTAGTCACCTCAGTGCTAAAAAATAAAATCAAACAACACTGTCAAGAACCAAAAAATTATCCAGAATAAAATAGGTCTCATGATATGATTCTTTTGGTATGAATTCCAAGAAATACAAAAAAACTCAAATAAAGTGTTTCACTGTCAACAGAACCCTTTACTTTTTAAAAATATGTGATGCTCAATTGATTTATCTTTTCAGTGTAAGAAGTACTATGTTCAAAACTTTTACTGAAGCTTGTCGAGAAGCAGAGATCAAGAAAGAATCAACATCTACAATTCTAGGAGATAAGCACTCGTAAGTCCCGTGTTTCATTTTAAACTCCTTTTGAAAAAGTTTAATTAACAAATTAACTTTGGAGATGGGCCTGAGTTAGAAAGAAGGAGGGTTATGTCATGATTGTGGGTATACTTAACCATTCGCACGATAACATAAAAGGGTCAATCCATGATTCATTCATAGTTATGCACCTCAAAATCGATCAAATTTTTCCTTTTCCTTTGGTTTCACCTTTTTTGCTTTGTTTCCAAACATAATTAATTTCTGTTTTTATCATTTATTTCTCCCCCTTAAGAATCAGCATTGGTTCACCAATCAATCGTGAATTTAATAAACTTTTCCATCACCTTTAAGGAGGCTTTAATTTCTTGAAAACAGTCACCACAACTAATCATGACTTAAATGAATATCACCAACACACTTTGAGTGCAAAATCAGTGATTTTAAATTTCAATGCCACGGACTGCCTACTATTTGGAGCTTTTTAAATCTTTTAATCAAAAAAGGTTCTGAATGAAATTGTTGCATGCAGTGGGGATTCTCAATTTATTTATTTAATATCATGTATAATTTTGCTAGGAGTTGAATCGTGCCAATGATTTTCTTTATCACTAACTCCAAAGCTGAAAGAAAAATTAAGGATGGAGGAAGTAACATACTTTATGAGAGAGTTCACCTCCAAATTTAGTCAAAATCTCCATTCAAAAATAGGGCCAAATCTATCATCAAGGTTACTATTAATTGAAGCCTAATATTATATTATTTTGAAATGTACAAGTTACCTTACCGGGTGGCAGCCCTGCTAATTTATCCAGCCTTTTCTCTACACGGAGAGTTTAGTTCAATATTTATAGAGCTGCGTTTGTTCATATAGTGGGTTAGCTCCACATTTGTGGCTTCTACTCTGAGAGCTTGGGTGCAATTTCATATCAGGGGAACTAGTGCACTAAGGTTTTCTGGCAAAGTTCTACTATACACTAAATGGAAAAATCGGAAATTCCCTCTGCATGCAAGATCTCTATTTTTCCCTCTTTCCCTAACTTTTTTTCTGAGCTATCTTGTTATTTCCCTTTCCATCTTTTATTTTCAGTTTGAGTTACTCAATGAGCGATCCAGCGTTCAGTATGAGTGACCCATTTAATGATCCATTGTTCAAAGTGAGTGACTCATTGAGCGATCCATTATTCAGAGTGAGCGACTCATTGAGCGATCCATTATTCAGAGTGAGCAACTCAGTGAGCGATCCATTGTTTAGAGTGAGCGACATAATAAGCGATCAAATGTTCAGTGTGAGCACCTCAATGAGCTTTCAAGTGGATTGTTAAAAACGCTCCCCCTTTTCCAAAACTGTGGCTGCGGAACCCCTTCTCTCCATCTGAATCCTGTATCAACCAACCGTGGCTCTTTCTGTGCTACCTCATTCCACCCCTGCTTCCAAAAATGTATTTTTTCCAACTCTACTTCACTCATCTTAAATTCCTAATGTTCCCAACCATTACCTAAAGCCTCATTTTTTTAGAGCATCTTATTGAAAAAGCTTTGGAGCAAACTGTGCTTGCACACCTTAGATAACTGTACCCTCAGAAGGCGATAGTCCCTTACTTGCAATTCAAATGCAAAACCTGTGCCTTTTGGCTCCCTCATAAAAATTGTTAAAGATCTTGAGGGATGGGACCTCCGCTCAGAGTCTACAAAAATGTGGGTAGATTTGCTTTTATTTATTGTTTTATTAACATATTAAGAATCAAAGGTTGAACATATTTGCGATTTTTAATTATATTAGTCTATTCTCTTAAGTAGAACTACTGATCCTTACATTTTGAATTAAAGAATTGAAACCTTACCCGAGGGTCCCTCAAAAACTGATGTTTACTAAAACTGAGACTCCAGTAGTTGTACAATTGGTATTAATTTGGCATAGATGCAGTTGGCACCCTTGCTATCCTCTATCAGTTGCATTTGACATACAAAATTATATTTCCTCAGGAACTTGCTCGTCATAGGACATCTTGCAAGATGTAAGTAGAGCGATAAGCGCTTTTTCCTTCCTGCTCTATTAGGCATTTTTAGTCTGAGCAACTTTTGTAGTCTCCAAGTAGCTGTAAATATAGTTACACCAGGATGTGGCAGCTTTTTCGAATTTCAGCTTTTCCAGTCTAGCGCTCTGTGTTCTAGAATCAATGTAAATTTCTCTGCAGGACTAGTTCTTTGTGCTTGGATCATATGTAGCTGAAGTGAAATTTTGTAATGTGTAATATTCTGTAGGGCTGAACCTTGAGTAAGTTTTTAAATAAGGCACTCTACTATGCTGCCATGCTAAGGAAGAATGCCGTATGAACATTCGAGAGTTGCCAAATTTCCTTCAGTTAAATTTTTATTTTTGAGGACAGTTATGAATATTTTTCCTTTAAATTTTCAGGGACTTTAGGTGAAATTTCGAGCAAAATTATCGAAAAAATTGGAGGAAGAATATTCATAAGTTTACCAGGAAACTCGTGTTTTATCAAGGCAAATTTGTCAACGCCTGAAGGTTCATGCAACGTTCTTCCTTAGCACGGCAGTATGGGCACAGTTATGAGCACTCTCCTTCCCCTCAAAATTCTAACTGTCTAAAAATTTGCTTCAATTGGAACCTATAATTCATAAGCCAAGAGGAAAGGCGAGAAAGCTTTAGATAAAGTATCTAAGAAAAAAATATATTTTTAATGTGAAAAAATACTAATCACAAGTATCAAACTTATTATATTTTGTCACAATGTTAGCATTCCTCAGGTTTATTACAGTTTAAGTACAATTATTCTAAAGCTCTCAATATTTGGAATCCTGTTTTTAGTTTTTATTGAATCATTAAATACTCACTTTAAATTTTGTTCTTTTATCCACTCAATGATACTTACAAGAATTATATGAGTCAGCGGAAATGTCAATAGTTAAAGCCCATTTTACCAAATCGACACAGAAGCTTCACTTGTATTGCAATTCAATTCTTAAATGCCAGAAATTGCCAGAGATCCATTTTGGCACACTAAACTAAAATTTTTAAGGGAAAAAATTGACTACAAAATCATCGTCACATTATTTAGATCCAGCCAAAAGTTACCTTAACGTCCCCTTGATTACGGAATCACTCAAAATTGTGTTGCATTAAATTGGTCCAGTGAAAGAGATAATTAAGACATCAGAGTTTTGAGGAAGAACTCTCTGCAGCATTTCCTGTTTTGATTGTCATGCAGGTGATATTGGCGAGTAAAACTGTCAATCCAGCAGAGCTCTTTATGGAAAACATGGGAGCAGTCAATGCACTGAAGACATCGACAAAATTTGCAAACCCATTTTTATGCATTTTCAATCATTCAAAGTGATGAATTATATCAAGGTTATGTTCAAAATTTTCGTTGAGTGTGAGCTGATGGATCTAGTTAAGCTGCAAGATTCTTTACTGAATCTTCTAGAAATTATGAGAATCCTCCCTTACTGCTGGGAGATAGTATCAACCAATTTAAAGTTTTAGTCCTCTTTCAGTTTTCAATTTAAGTAGTACCCTCCATTGCACCAATCCTTCAGTATCCAATTTCACCAACCATCGCACTGTATTAATTTTTAATTATTTTAAGATTTACTCTCCCCTTCTTCTTTTTTGCACTCATTGTGTTAGCTGCATCATTAGGGTTTTCGTTTTTTTTATTGTTTTACCGTTTTGTTTTTTTTGTAAATATGTAAAAAATAATCACATAAGAGTAAATAAAAATCTTATTGCTAGTCTTTATAAAAGAATGCAAACGTGCTACGAAATTGAATTTTCATTCTAAAATGGTTTAGTTGCGCTTGTTGTAAAATTTTGTTCCCATGGTTGAATCTTGTATCGAAGCAAAAAGTACTAAGATCCATTCTAGCACCAAGTTTCTAAATTCAATGATATTGAATAAAGTGTTCCTTTAAAACGTTGTGAATGATAGCATTACTTGTGTTCGTCGTAAAGCAATCTCTGTTATTAATTGGCATAGTAATTTGGCTTTTGGACAAGTCTTAATATGCGCAACTGACCCATTCCTTTCCTTGTTTTCTAGCCACATTACTATTGTTTTAGATCTCCAAGTACCTATTGCATAAATGAAGGGAATAGCCTTTGCGTTCAGCAAAGGGTAAATTTAACCCCAAGGTGGATTGACCTTTGTTAAATTTATTTTTTTGCTGCATAAGATAGTTTTTTCAGTTACTCTGAACTCAGAGTTAGTGTCATCACTTAATAATTATACCGGCTCTTTATGATTGCTCTAATTAGTAACATACATCAACTAAACTGATCACATTATTTCTGTAAGTCTTGCCTAAAATTAGCTGAATTAATAGAAGAACTAGCTGAATGAAAAGCACTGTGGGTGTCAGTATGGAAGAAAAATATCTAATAATTAGAAAATTGAACTCTACCATCTTCATCAATGTCCACAGGATTAATTCCTATATCTCTTATTAAATTTGCTAGGATTTCAATTTCCAAACGTGCTGAAAATATGATCCAAAGCAACGTTTGTCAGTTTTTTCCATCTTGATCAAACTATTTAGTAACTCGAGAGTCGATGTCTTGGTATGGATTCAGATGCAGTAATTTCCATCTATAGATACAACCATTCACATCCATTTCACCCACAGCTAAGAGTAACTAAGAATTTTTAAGCAATAAATCGTTACGAAGAGTCAAACAAGTTGACACTTGATTTTGAGCTCACCGTCGCAACAAAAAACCCTCGCAGCAATTCTCAGGAGTTTCATACCCTGCTCTTTCATAAATTTCATGGCTCTTTTTCCCCAAAATTTAGAATTTTGCATAATTCTCTGCAGCAATTGATTGCATCAAAATGCTCTACGTAAATAAGACTTCCGAAATGAACACAGCCGCAATACTTCGATCTGACCTCAGGCAATGAGACTCCCTTCTCAAAAGTTTTGTTTAATGAAATTTAGTATTCCGAGAAAGGTTTTCACTGCATCAAGCGATTGCACTAAATAGAAGATGCAAAAAGAAATATACGCACCCAAAGCTGAGGTTTTAAAATGGAAAGAATCTACTTTTGTGAATCTGCTCTGACAGAATTGTAATTTCAGGGAACAAACTCGAAAAATTTGCATTTAGTAAATTTTTTAAAAATATTTACCCAAAATCAATAGGCTCTAATCAAGTTAGGACCCAGGTTGATGTCTCTATTTTTTCAATGTATTTACAAGAGGATCCTTTTACATTTTTTTTATACCTCGTACTTATGATTCTTTGTATTTCCTCTGTTAGAAGTCATTATTTTGAATCAGCCATTTATCAGCAGAGATGAATGGGGAATTTGGGGAATGATGGGGAACTTTCAGAAATTTTATATATCTCTGCAATATATAGTACATTATTATAAATTCTGAAAGTCCAGAATAATGGCCCAGCACATCCATGTGTTTTACTTTACAGAAAGATTTCTTTTGCCTAGTAACACTCGAAATTGACAGCGTCCTCTCTGTTGAAGGTCATCTCCTGCTCAAAGTGTGGTCAGAGGGTGTTCTTTACTGGAAATAGGTAGTAATGTCCACAAATAATGGCTCTAAAAGTCGGAGATTTTTTTAAAAGCGTTAGGTAGTATTTTAAAAAAAAAAAATTTCAGCTCCATCGGCAGGATCTATCCATGGAAGTACCCAAAATATGCGGAAATGATTTGAGATTACATGGAAATTTTTCTTAATACTTGGCAACAATATCTTGCTGGTTGTTCTTGAAGAATCAATGACTTCTATTTATACAGAGCTCAAGCTCCATGGAATAGTATTTATTTCCTTAATATACCTAAGCTTATTGCGGTCTCTATTACAGAGGCACTGAAAGAGCCCGACTTTTGCGGAATGTTCGCAGCGTTTTCAATCTTCGTTCTCCAACATCAAGTAGTACAGGAGTGGAATTAAGGCGTAAGTGTACATTACCTCCTACACTGTTCTGTCTTGTTCTTAAATTTTTCAGTATAACTTCTTCTCTTTTCTCACTGGACCTCCTTAAACTTTCATTCCCAAATTTATTCTCTTTTGAGTGTTTGCACCACCAAATAATGCCTCTTCGTCGAAACTCTCCTAATTTTCTTTATTCTTATTCCACATCAACGTCGTCCGCTCGGATTCTTGACCTTTTTTCACCTTACTTTTTACCATTCCAAAAATTGTGAGGTATGCCTTAATGCTGTTCGTTGTTTTCTAGTATTTCCTTGCAGTTAGATTTTGTAGGTTTTCTTTTTCTTCTGAGGTCACCCAGATTTCATCAGGTCTTTTCTTGTAGTTCAGAAATTATCATTATTTAGACTGTGCAAAAAGAAATCGTTCATCCTCTTTGCTGCTTCTAGTCTCCACGAAAGCAACTGGTGTGTTTTCGTGTAATTGCAAATTGAATAAATTTTCAGAGAAAATCTCCAGGAGTTATTTAATCCAATTCTTGGTTGTGTGAATTTTTAACATATTTAGCATGAATTGGTGTTCTGCTTTTTTCTCAGTTTGTTGTAAGTCATCGCTCGTTCATTATGTTGTCTATTAATTGCATCCAAATGTTACTGCTTAGAATTTTGTTTGATTAATTTCTAAAATAACTCGTTTGGAAGAATTCTGTCATCCCAAAACTGAAAAGCATGTCCTCAAATTATTCTACAGTTTTCCCAAAAATTGAACTTTTTTTTTTTCAATACTCTTAAAGGTAATTTTACAATGTCTTAGATTTCACTTCATTCTTTAGTAGTTGTTCAGAAAAATACAAGAATCTCCAAATCTGGAAAAATCATCATGAAACAGACTCGGGAGTCTAAGGGAAATCCATGAACTTTTGTCAGTAGAGCAAAACATTTCAGTTGCTTCAAATGATTTCCCTGAGGCGGATTTCGACACAGACATGTAATGGCAGGAAAATGCAGGGAATTCAATCTCGCAGAAAAACTTTGAAAATCACCGGCAATACAGGAACAAGTCATGATTTTCCATGCGGTTTCGAAATGAAACTTTGGCTTTCCTACATCCATGCAGACATCGGAAAAATCCTGGAAGATCGCATGAATTTTGAAATTTGGTAGATACTATGAACTCTGTTGAGTAAAAAAATCGCTGTCATAGAAATGAACATGTTTGAACCATGTGGGTTTTCCCTATTATTTTGGAGCTTACTAAACATTTCAATCAAATTTCATCAGATCTAATTAGTTTTCGATTTTATGAATACAAATTTTAGTGTCCAATTCTTTAAAAGTCCCAAGAAAATTGCTCTCTCTTTCAAAATTATTGTGTTGCCTTTTTGCAACATCATCTACAATCTATGCCCAGAGCTTCATTTCTTATTTTGTTATTATTCATTAATTAATAAATATTTGATAATTCGACTTATTTATGTTCAAAGGAACTATGTGAAAAATTAATTGAATTAAAAAGAATTATGTGTATAGGGCTTGCATGTCACACAATTCATTTTTATTCAATTTATTTGCTCAACATTTATTTTAGCATGATTATGTTCGATCACTGATACAACAAATACATAAAACTACCTCCCTAATTATATGTAAGTAAATTAAGTGGTATTTTAGGGGTCTACCCTGGTAAAAAAGACGACTACGCTGCGACTATGCTGCGAATACATAGCATAGCCGTGTGCATATGTAAGAAGTCGCAGTGTAGTCACATGGTTGTCAAGGGTAGTCATCAGTAGGCGCAGTGTATTCGCAAGGTAGTTGCAAGGTGGTCACCGGTTAGTAGTCGCCATGAATGTGTAGTTGCAGAGCAATAGTGGGTATCCGCAAGCATAGGTGCNTAGGGGTCTATAAATGTATACAAATGGGTTAATCTTAACATACGAGAATTGATAAAATTCATAATTATGTTCATAGTGAAAATACCAAGAGTATTTTTACACTTGTGACTTCCAACAGTTCACGTTAAATCTCCAATTATCGTTTAAAGTGGAGCATGGATATTTTTTTCGAAAGGTACTCCTTTTTACCTGACTTTTAAACGGACCACTAGATTGGGCACTAATTGCAGCACACTAAGATACGTATATTTCTTCATCAAAATGTACCACAGAATCCATTCAACATGCATAAAATCAAATAAATAATGAATAAAAATTAGTGCTCATGTCTCATATTTGAATCAGTAACTTCAAGCTGTTTGTTCAAAAGAAAACCAAAATCAACATAGATCAATGCGTAATCAAAATTAAATTGATCACCAATGACTAAATAGTGTTGGATGAGTCCATTGACTCCCCAATCTTATGCACCGTATTTTTACAGTGGACTAAAAAATTCAGCCCACTAAAAAATTATTCATTATGAAGAACACCATAAATAGTTTACAGTGGCCAATTTGATAACAGTAGACCTCTGTAGTGTTTGACAAGTGGGGAGTGTGAATTTCAGATCAAAGGAAACACTGATTTCTTTTTTACCAAGCTGTGTTCTACAGAGAGATTTTGGTGAGGACACATATTCTATGATGTTTAATTAACCTTGTCTATTGGTTCGTTGAGGAAAAAGAAAACATACATTTGCTTTCATCCTCTTCTTTCTGATCTTATTACCTACTCAGAAAGAGTCACAGGTATACATTGAAGTTTTTAGAATACACTGCAAACAGCGAGACAATCATTTTTTTTAAATCCAATATATTTAATTTGAACCTAAAAATTCTGTTAAGCTATAAATGGAAAAAAAAAGAAATATTACTTCCAAATTCGTTTGTGAAGTCAAGCAAAGTTCATCCAGAACGTGTCTTGCACAGCTTGCACCTCTTTATTCTTGCAATAATAAGGCTAGGATTGTGCAGCTTAAGTACATTCTTTGCAAGAAAATTACCGGAATCACGCAAACAATTAAATTTACAAAGGTATTTTCGTCTTGAATTTATAGTTTATTGGGAGTGAAGATAAAACTTGCTTACGTTTTTAATTTATATTTGCAAGGTAAAAGAAGTTGCACAAGTTTAGCGATATTAGAATGCTCTTGGCTCCTTCTTGCAAAATGCAATCCATGTAATAATTAATATGATAAATATTTAATACAATAAAAATACCAATGATCCAATATTAGTACCCATTACCATAACCCTCTGCAACCCCCCCTCCCCTGACTCTGCAAGTGAGTACACAAGTTTTTTCATTATTTTTAATTAATTTTATTAGGTACCCAAACCATTTTGTTGTAAAAAAAGCTCTAATTTTTTTTACAACAATCCATGGAGTTTTTCCCATTTACTTTCTTAATGTTAATAGATTCTGCAGTTTCAGAAGAGCACTAACTTTATATTGTGTTGAACGCGCCTTTATCTTCTCCCGTTGTCTCTCTATCCTCAATGGGACTCTGACACCTAATTCTATTTTTCTTTGTTTTCCTTAGATGGTTTTGCTTTTTCTCAAGAGGAAGGTGGTGTAGTAACTCAATCCGAAGTTATTCGGGCCTACGATACCAATTTACCAAAACCTGGAGGACACTAGAAGCGTACTTTTCTTGTTGATCGAGAGGGTTACTGTTTTTTTGGATCCTTCGTCTTTGAAATTCCAGCACCAAGCATTTTAATCTACGAACTTGTTAATTTTTTTGGCAAGCTGTTTTTAAATCTACCTGTGTAATGAGTCAGTTTTCGGATTCACTTTCAAAATTATTCGAAATATTCACCAGTTAGAAACTCAGTCTTAGGAGTAATATTTTTCTGGTCATCTTGTTTTACAAATTCTATCATCGAATTCATCTATTCTCAAGACATGAGCGCATGACCTAAGTATTTAAAAATGTTCAGTTCCAATATTTTTGAACCACTTAGATCTTTTTAAAACATAACTGTATGTAAAGTCCTATTTTTATACTCTTCATTATCAATACTAATCATTGAATATATATATTTATATTTTCCTGAATCTGCATTAACTTTTTGTAAATATTTTTAACTTAATCCAAAAATTCTAGAGTGGAAATGTGAACTTCACTGAACTTATCACACTCCCTGTGTGCTTTTCATAAGGCACAAATAAATACTAATTCTCACTTGAATATACCTCATGAACAAATTATATATTTGTCTGGTAGCTGATCATATAATTTATTCAAGTGTTCATAAGTTAAAAATGATTTTCAGCAAATCAGCAGCTTTGCTTTCAGAAATAATGAATTTCCCCTAACATGAAATAGGTTTTTTCCTTGGAAAAAAACCCTTTGTCCTCTCAACACTACATTAAATTAACCAACATTTTTATGTCTTGAGGTAATTTCTATTTTTAGGACACAATGATTCTCTGCTGTCAAACGTATTTTTTAGTCATGGACATCACCGGTAAACACACTTTCATTGCAATTGTTTGAAATTTTTCTTTTTTTCTTGGGT